CACCATTCCCCTCACCATTCCCCTCACCATTCCCCTCACCATTCCCCTCACCATTCCCCTCACCATTCCCCTCACCATTCCCCTCACTCTGCCCAACCCACCCTAGTCTCTCTCTTGAGGGGGCGGGTATGGGCATAGAATGAGTGGAGAAAGGGGAGGGTTGGAAAGGGAGAGGGGGATGGATGGTGGAGAGGAGGGAGAGGGGGGATGAAAGAGATTGGAAGGGGTGGGGAGACAAACGAGGAATTTCTTCTCTGAGGCTAGCGAATCTGGAATTCTTTACCACCAAGGGCTCTAAAGGCTGTTTTCTTTTAGTTATATTCAGGGCTGAATAGGCACCTTTTAAATCAGTAAAGAAATCAAGGATTATTGTGTTTCAATGTATTTATTTTCCTTCCAGACTTTGTGACCAAGAAGACAAAGGGTTGTTAAAGGATCCCATGCTGTATGAGGTAATCTACTTGTAAAACTTGAGTATTTTAAATGCCTCAGTACCTCTCTTCTATTATCCAGCTCAATAGTTTGTATTTGCTTGGTTCTACTCACTATTCCATTCACAATCTTCAGCAATGGTCTCTGTCAACATGATGTCAGGTTCAACAATGCTGATAACACCAAGTTCCATGGTTGCTGATAAACTCATCTGAGCGTCAGATTGCTATCCAACATCCTTCCTTCAATAAAGCTATGGAGATAGATCAAGAACGTAGAACAGTACAGTACAGGCCCTTTGGCCCACAATGTTGTGCCGACCTATTATCCTACTAAGATCAATCTACCCTGCATACCCTACGTTTTACTATCCTCCATGTGCCTATCCAAGAGTCGCTTAAAAGTCTCTAAAGTATCTGCCTCCACTGCCACTGCCGGCAGCACATTCCACACGCCCACCAGTCTCTGTGTGAAGACCACACTCTGTATGAAGAGATATGCTTGTCCATCATGGAAAATTATTACTTTGTTTGATTAACCTCAACTGCTTTACAGTACTAAAAATGTTTCCATTTAAAATGTGATTGTAACTCCTGAGGGGGCTAAGCAGACAGAAACTCCATGATCTTGCGCTTGACCGACAGACTGGAGGATCAGTGGATCAGTACAATTGACCTGCTAAAGAAATGAATGCAGTCCAGTAACAGCAGAAGATAATTGTACAGTGCTCCTACACAATTGAAACCTCCTGGGCAGTTTTCTCAAAGCTATCTACAGTGAGCACCATGCAAAGTGCACTGTGTGGCATACATTTGCTTTAATCTGTTCTATCACAGTTAAAGGAATGGATTTTTTTAAAGCCTCCTTCTCTCTCAAGATCTCTTTATTCTGATGCCCCCTCAATAAGTTACTAATGGGGTTCATACTTGTGTTTCCTATCTGCAGTGACTGTTCCTCTTGACATTTTTTACCATTTTCTCCACTCCGTTAAGTAGGAATTTGTCTTGCACAATGTAATTGAGATGGAATTATTACTTGTGCCCATACTGAGTCTTTCTGCTTTGCTCCATTAAACTAGAGCACCATTGAGCTGTAAAATTGCACTATCCCTCTATCAGCATGCAGTTACAGTGCAAACAATTGAAAACAAGATTTACCTTGAGATTTTGAGCCTTTTTTCTGGGTTATCTCTTAGGATGATATCCAAGTCCATATTGTAAATGAAGTGAACAGAAGTCCCTTGCAAGCTTTCTGGAAGAAGAATGTGCCCATCTTTATAGCCGAGAGAGCAGTAAGTAATTAAAGTTAATCAGGATGTTGTTCCATAATTTATTGACACTTTCATACAGGAGGCTGTAATTCATACCTATGCCACTAGTCAGTTTCTAGTTACTTATGTTTGAGGCCAGTCATCATTCAGGATTGGACTAAGGATGAGTTGATGGGAAGGCTTGACTTAATGATGATGCACTTCATCTTCTCAACACTCAAGCAAGTTAAAAGGAATTGTTACAAGAATCTGTGTTTGCATAATAACCATTTCTTAGTGACCCCTCATTTCTATGTTCTGGTTGAAATTTGCTGGCTATCTAGGCTTAACATTTTCAGTTCCATCCCTACATCACCTTCTTTCTGATTTAGACTGTTGTTTTTTTAGAATTTGAAATTGCTTTTCTGCCAATGGCAGCAATTTTCTTGTAAAAAAGCTAGCAATGGAGATTTTGCCGTAGGCCAATTTCTGATCATTGATTTGGGCTGGAAATAAACACGTACAGTATGTTAGAAACACCTGTAGTAGGTAGTTAGGAGACTTATTAAAGGTACGTCCACTCAAGGACAAAGGAGGGAATTTATGCGTGGAGCCAGAGGGAGTGGCCGACATCCTTACTGAGTACTTCTTACCGATATTCCCCAATAAGAAGGACATGGATGATGGTAAGATTAAGGAGGGGTATGTTGATATTCAAGGGCATATCAATATTGGGTAGGAAGTGGTGTTGGGTGTCTTGAAAAACATTAAGAAAGCGAAGTCCTCTAGGACCTAATGGGATCCATCCCAGGATACTGATGTGGGGGCAAGGGAATGACCTTGGCAAAGATCTTCGTATCCTCTTTAACCATAGGTGAGATCCCAGAAGATGAGAATAGCCAGTGTTGTCCCTTTGTTTTAAGAAGGGCAGAGAGATAATTTGGGAAATTACAGGTTGGGGAGCCTTGCATCAGTGGTAGGGAAATTATTGGAGAAGATTCTTAGGGACAGGATTAAATTGCATTTGGAAATGAATGGACTTATTAGGGAGAGACAACTTGGCTTTGTGTGGGTGATGTCTTGTCTCTTAAATTTGATTGAATTTTTTGAGGAAATGATGAAGATGATTGATGAGGGTAGGGCAGTGGATGTTGTCCACATAGGACTTTAGGAAAGCATTTGACAGGGTTCCTCATGGTAGGCTGGTCCTGAAGTTTAAATCGTGTAGGAGTTGATAAGTTGTATACAAAATTTGCTCGGTGATAGAAGACTGAGGTTAGTTGTGGAAGATTATTTTTCTGACTGGAGGTCTGTGACCAGTGGTTTTCTCAGTGTTGGGACCTCTGATGTTTGTAATAAGGTTGCAGATGAAATGAGAATGGGTGGAATTGCAGATACTGAGGAAGGTTGTCAAAGGATACAGCAGGATCAGTTAGAAAGTTGGGCAGAGAAATGGCTGATGGGGTGTAATCCAAACAAGTGTGAGATGATACATTTTGGGAGTTCAAAAGCAAGAGGAAAGTATGCAATAAATGGCAGTACTCGGGGGTCTTGGGTGCAAGCCTAAAGCTCCCTGAAAGTAGCAATACAAATGGATAAGGTGGTAAAAAACGCTGGTTGGGACATTGAGTGTAAATATTGGCGAGTCATGCTTGGAGTATTGGGTGCAGTTCTGATCGCCACACTATAGGAAAAGTTTGGAGATGGTACAAAAGAGGTTTACTAGGATGTTTTCTGGATTGGAATGTGTTAACTATAAGGAGAGGTTGGACAATATTGGATTGCACTAGAGCATCACAGGCTGAGGAACAACCTAATAGAAGTATAAAAAATTATCAGATGCATGGAGTCTTTTTCCCAGGGAGGATTATAAGTTTAAGGTGAGAGGGGGGAGGTTTAAAGGAGATGTGCGAGCCAAGCTTTTTACACAGAAGACGGTAGGTGCGTGGACCATACTGCCAGGGGAGATGGTTGGAACAGTTACGGTGGCAATGTTTAAGAGATGTTTAGACAGGTGAATAGGCAGGGAATAGAGAGATATGGACCATTTGCAGGCAGATGAAATTAGTTTAAAATGACATCATGGTCAGCATGGACATGGTGTATTGGTGGGCCTGTTCCTAAGCTGTACTGTTCTATGCTTAAAAGATGAAAGAACTAAGAGGAGAAACAAGTTTTTGTTTTCATGCTATTAGACAACTGTCCACACACTTGTGTGATACATGTCAGAGGACTCATGTTTGATGACTTGGGAATTTTAGAGTTGTGGAATATAGCACAGAAACAGACCCTTTGGTCCGACATGTCTATGCCGACCAGATATCCGAAATTAATCTAATCCCATTTGGAAGCGATTGGTCCACATCCCTCTAATCCCTTCCTTTTCATGTACCCATCCAGAGGCCTTTTAAATGTTACAATTGTACCAGCCTCCATCACTTCCTCTGGCAGGTCATTCCAAACATGCAGCACCTTCTGTGTGAAAAAGCTGCCCCTTAGATCCCTGTTAGATCTTTCCCCTCTCACCTTAATCCTATGCTGTCTAGCTTTGGACTCCCCTACCTTGGGAAAAAGGCCTTGACTATTCATCCTATCCATGCCCCTCTTGATTTTATAAACCTTTGTAAGGTCACCCCTCAGCCTCTGATGCTCCAGGTAAAATAGCCCCAACCTATTCAGCCTCTCGCTTTGGCTCAAACTCTCTAACTCTGGGAATGACCAACAAAATGCTAGAACGAGCCCGAGTATCGATTTTTAGAGAGGATTAAAATTGCTGCCTGTTACTGCTGCTGAAATTGGTCATATCTGAACATCTGATAAGGAAGAGGACAGGCTGAGCTTTGATACCTTTCACCGGTTGTATAGCCCATTCGTGATTACTGTTTAGGGTCAAACCTGAAGATCGAGTTTGGTGTTTCTTGTGGGAGATTTGATTCCTTATCTGTGAGCCAGAAGCATTTGCCTTGGTGAGCTTTGCTGCCCAGCTGTGCATGTATTATTTTCAATTGCTTTGCCTGTATGTAGTATTCTCTTTACTTGCAGTCACTTAAAGTGGATGAGGACCAAATGGAAGACTCCTCTATTAATGAATCCAACAATCTAACGTCTAGCAAGTTGGAAGAGAATATGGGACCTTTACCCCTCTCTGTCATGAAGGCAAGGTAATTAGCAAAGTAATGGCACAAGCCAATGGTTTACATTCTGTGTATTGTTAGACTTAAAATAACTAGATTCTTGATCACGTTGCTTTGCAACAGTCTTGTGGAAGTGCTGTTCCTCTCTCAAACTCTGTACCCAAATAGAGTAACTTAGATGATCTCCTTCTGCTTCCCTCCAAAACTCTTAATTTTCCTTTTTGAATGATTTACTTTTTTGAACTTAAACCGAGAGCTATTTTTAAGGGAGAAATCTCATGACTACTGTAAACTTCTAACAGTCTTAAAGAGGTGTGATTTCTTCTGCTTAGTTAATGACGATTATTTTTGTATGTGAGGGGGGATTAAATTACATCCGAAAGATGGAAAGAACCATGTCAAATGCAGCTTGCATTACATGTCACAGATAGTTGGTGATGACCACTCTGAAGGATTAATGGCAGTTAACCTGACTGCAAATTTTATTGAGTATGATCTGCTAAAATGAACGTCTCAGTAAGCAGTTTTTCACAGTTCCCAAGGTGAGCAATCTATCATGCAACGTCAGTCATAATGTTGCCCTGAATTAGTAGTGAGGTAAAGCACAATGTTGGAATAATGAAAAGGAATCTTTACTTTGTACTTGACGTAGGAGGTAGTAGCTTTTGTTTTGACTTGTGCAAGAATTTTTATTCATTTGTGGGACATGGGCAATATTGATGGGCCAGCATTTATTGCCCTTGAGAAGGTGATGGTGAGCTTCCTTCTTGAACCACTGCAAGCCATGTGCTGTAGGTTGACTCACAATGCTGTTGCGTAGGAAATTCCAGGATTGACCCAGCTACAATGAAGGAATGGAATATTTCATAAGTCCAGATGGTCAGTGGCTTGACAGGGAACTTGCAGGTGGTGGTGTTCCTATGTATCTACTGCCCTTGTCCTTCTAGATAGAAGTGGTTGTCCGTTTGGAAGGTGCTGTCTAAGGATCTTTGGTGAATTTGATTTTGTTTTTAGCTTTATTGTCATGTATACTCAAGTACAGGAGTACAGTGAAAAGTGTAGAATGTCGCATTTGTGTGGTGCATCTTCTAGATAGTACTATATATGCATATATAGAGTGGATGTTTGTGGATGTGGTGCCAATCAAACAAGCTGCTGTGTCCTGGATGGTGTCAAGTTTCTTGTGTTGTAGGAACTGCACTCATTCAGGGAAGTACGGAGTATTCCATCATTCTCATGACTTGTGTTTTGTAGATGGTGGATGGGCTTTGGGGAGTCAGGAGGTGAGTTATTTGCTGCCGTTTTCCTAGCCCCTGACCTGCACTTTTGACCACTGTATTTATGTAGCATGTCCAGTTGAGTTTCTGGTCAATGGTAACATCCAGGATGTTGATAGCGGGGCATCAGTGAAACTGTGATTGAATTTCAAAGGGGGGAGGTTAGATTGTCTCATTGGGAATTGTCATTGCCTGTCATTTGTGTGGCATGAATGTTATTTGTTGCTTGTCAGTCCAAGCCTGGATATTGTCCAGGTCTTGTTGAATTTGAACATGGACTGCATCAGTATTGAAGGAGTCGCAAATGGTACTGAACATTGTAAAGTCATCAGCCAACATCCCCACTTCCAACCTTATGATGGAGGGAAGCTCATTGATGAAGCAACTGAAGATGGTTGGCCATAGGACACTAACCTGAGCAACTCCTGCAGAGATACCCTGGACCTGAGTGACTAATGGGTGGCACAGTGGCTCAGTGGCTCAGTGGTTACCACTGCTGCCTTATTGTGCCAGGGATCCAGGTTCGATAGCTTGATAGCACTGTGATGACCCCTTCCATCACTTGCTGGTGGTTGTGAGTAGGCTGGTTTTTGAGGATAGGGATATTTATAGAGCTGCCTCCTTCAGTGAGTTGTTTGATTGTCCACCATCATTCATGACTGGATGTGGCAGGACTTTAAAGCTTAAATCTGATTGTTTGGTTGTGGGTTTGCATAGTTCTATCTATCGCTTGCTTCTTATTCTTTGTGGCATACAATTAGTTCTGTTTTATAGCTTGAACAGGTTGACACCTTAATTCATCTGTATTGTATTTATACTGCATTTTCTATCTCTAATGCTTACTTATTTTTCTTCTATTTTTAGACAGTTGGTTTCTTGGTACACTTTGGCCCATAATCCACACATGGCCCAGGTGATCAACTGCAGTGTATCAACTGCCTTTCCTCTGCTGTGGGTAAGATGCGATGGTTCCGATCCTGAAGGTACTGTTTGGCTAGGAGCTGAACCTGTGAATACTGGGAAGGAGATTACATCCATAGTTTTCCATATAGTTACGTGCACTGGTAAGATAACAAGACAGTACTTTTATAAGGAGTTATGTAAAACATTATCTCAATCATTAATCCTGGCAAGATGAAATCGAAACCTGGTAACTTCACAGTTTGGAATGTGGGCATTAGAATTCATTATATAAATATAAAATACAAGAATACAACATAATATGACTTTAAACTGAGGGTATAATAACCTGCGCACCCAGCTCCTTTAAACCTTTAACATCTAACAAAGCACCACCTGAATGTTGCACTGGATCCTGGTTTCCATTCTCCAGTGACCATTATGTTATATATAACAAGTCACAGTAGTTCCAGAGGACTGTGGGCTGCTCTCTCATTAAAGAGAGAGAAAGAAAAAGAAACAGAGATTGATGACTGGTGATGGTTTAACCTGAGGGTCACCACACCTCAGGCGAGGGGAGAGGTTGAGAACGAGAATCCTTCATGATAATCTCAGCCTGTGCGGGAATTGAACTCATGCTGTTGGCATCACTCTGCATCACATACCGACCAATAGCTATAATGAAGGACAAATTAATGAGCTACGTTCCTTCACATTAACTGTTGTAAAGATTCCCTGTGTGCTTGTTTTCTTCAGTCTTGCCAAGCGACCTGAACATATGCAATCATTGTCTTGTGACGTTTTAGCTGTCAAATGCAAAGAATTATTTTATGTTTGAACAGTATTTTCACAATGTTATTTCTCATTCTTTTAGGACCAATTTTTGACAAAAACTCTTTCACAAGCATAGAAAAATTGAAAATTGCCCATAAAGACAGACATCCTAATTCTGCTGTAAGTATTTTCACTCACTCTCTTTCCTCCCAATCTGCTCCCCATTAATTGTAAATAGCTTTGATAAACCTATAAAATTCTGAAATAAATCAGTATATTATGTTTATTTCGTATCTTTTACTGTGAGATGACTTAAGCTGCTTCACAGAAGTGGATAAAGCAAAATTAAACAGAGGGCCAAGTTCATAGAAACCCTATGGCATGAAAAGAGGCCATTCAGCCCATTGAGTCCACACTGACCCTCTGAAGAGAATCCCTCCCAGACCCCCGCCCCCACCACCACCATGCTATCCCCAAATCCCACATTTACCATGGCTAATCCACCTAGCCCTGACCGTGGGAGTAAACCGGAGCACCCGGTGGAAACCCATGCATTCGTGGGTTTGGCAAAGTTCAACAACAGATGGTTAGAAGCTTAGTCGTAGGTAGGTTTTGAGGAACTTCTTAAAGGTAGAAAGAAAAGCAGAAAGGCTTATGGAGGGCATTTGAGCTTGGGCTTGGGCATTTAAAGGCTTGTCTATTAACATGGAAAAATTAACATCAAATATGTCCAAGAATGCAGAATTAGATGTGTGTAGATATCTCAGAAGATTACATGGCTGGAGGAAATTACAGAAATCAGGAGTGGTCATGCCAGAGAGGAATGTGAAAATAAGGATGAGAATTTTAAATTTGGAAGCATTGCTTGACTGACACCTAATAAAGATCAACATTAATTATTTTACTTTTTACCTCCCATTCCCCATCTCCAAACTTCCAAATTCGTAAGTTTACACTCTGACCTAGCTGCTAACCTGGAATGTCTCTTTTTTGTTTTCTTGGTGCATCATTTCCTACTTTTATTTCAAACTGCCTTTTGGACCCTTTCCCTGGCTTTCACATTTTTTCATGGCCTTGCCCCTTCCTATTCAATATCTCCTGTAGACCCTCAACCCTGAGACTTTGTGCTCTGCTAATTTCGGCCTCTTGAGCACCTCATTTTTAAATGATCTTCTCTTGGTGGCTGTAATTGTACTGCCTCAGTCCTAAACATTTGAATTCCCTCCCCAGATCTCTCTGCCTGTCTCTCAATGTTTTAATATCTGCCTTAAGTCTTACCTTTATTGTTCAATTTTTTGGCTGTCAGACCTAATGTTGCCTAGTTGGACTTGGACTTTTTGTTAAATTAACGACAATATAGAAGTTGTTGTTTCTGTGACTTTTTTTTTCCTGAAATAAGACTTTAGATTGTAAGATTGTGAGCTCAATTACAAAGACTTGCACTTGCGTATTGCATGTCAAGTCCTCAGTACTTTGAAGTAAGAAACCAGTTCTGAGATTATGAAAGTGTCTTAAAATAGATGCAGGGAAATGTGTTTACTTTGGTGGTGAACAGCTTTGGAAAATTAATTTATAAAGTGTAATGGCTTTTGCCTTGATTCAGGTCATAACGAAGGGCTATGCACAGTATGATTTGTTTGGTGCCACTGTATTGGAGAATACAATTATGGAATCCCAGAGTAATATTATGGTGGATTTCACTTGGAACAATGTGGACAAAATCTTAGAAATTCCACCACTAACATCAGTTGCGACACTGGTAAGGAAAAGAAACAAGGTACTGGCTACTCTTACTATGCATATCATTTATGCAGTCCAGGACAACACACTCACTCACTCACACAGACACATACTTTGAACATGTACAGAACATGTGAGCTTTGCTTTTTGGGGCAGTTTTATCTTTTTTTTTGCTGTCTCTAGATGCCTTGAGATTACTTGCCTTGGCTAGATCCAAGGTCGTAGCCAATGTAGGCAAAATTTCTTTTCACCAATTAGAAGGTTGTTGTCAATGGTGATGACCTCCAATGTCTTCCTGTCTACACCTTCAAAGCAGTAGCTTATCAGTGTGAGAAATCTGCACTGAGCTACTTCTCAGGAGTCACAAGGATTTAAAAAAAAATTATGGGGATATGGGTTTTGCTGGCTAGATCTGCATTTATTCCTGACCCCAAAGAAGTCGGTCATGAGCTTGAGTTCTGGTATCGTTGCAGTCCATGTGGCAGAGGTACATCCACAGTGCTGTTCCAGGAAGGAAATTTCAGGGTGCTGGGTACAGGCTAGTGTTTCATGCAGCAGGGGAGAGTGAGCCTTGTCTCTTGAATTAAAGAGTCGGTCACACATGGCACTGTCAGATAATAAGAAATCAGATTCCTGCTTGATTCTTTTTAAAAATGCATTAATGTCCACTTTTATAAAAGACTCCTTGGAGGAAGTGTTGTGCATGTTCAGGGAGGGTTGAGGGGCATTTTGGCACTGAAATTTATCAAAACACAATCCAACCTTTTTTTAGTGTCATGATATTTTTTATTTCTGAATTACCTCCTGGCAGACCATTGTAAACATTATATATTTGGCTTAACAGTTGGTATTTGATAAATTTTGTAACTTAGTATTTTTCTCTACTGGTGTAATTTTAACATTTTACACAAGAACTTTTGAAATAATTCATCAGTGATTTAACCTCAATGAAGAAAAACTGATATTCAATTGCCAGTCTATAACATATCTGCTGGCCAGGCATGGGGTTAAGTACCTTGTGTGAATTGGTTAGGCTTAGCCTTTAAATTCTTAATGATAGATTGGACTGAGTTGGCCTAGTTTTACATTGTGCTTCTGTTATGGTTTTATTTTCCTTGTTTTTGTGGTCTTTATAGAATATCAAAGCGGAACCTGGAGACCTGAGAAGTCCTGTTATCCAGATACATAAGGAGCTAGAATTTCTTCTCGTAAGTATTTATTTCATAAATATTCATAAATCCACCAATTCTTTACAATTTTTAAAAAATGTATAATTATAGATATGTTCCAGCAGCATGCAGCCTGATCCAAAAGCTCTTTATGATGTTTTAAATGCACAGAGGAAATATTCTTCAGTGGCGGTAAATGTGAGAGATTAGCACCTTTGGCCAAAAAGCATTGTTTCCTCTTGTACTACACAAATAGTTTTGATAAAGTAATTCACAGGCATTAGTTAGTCTCAAACATCTGAACCTTCTATTTATTTAATTCGCTGTACAGAATTTAAAACATTGCTGTTAGTGGTGGCCAATTAAATTGGAACTTCTGGCAGTCACCAATTGCCTTTTTTTTTAAAACAGTTTTTAATGTTTTAATTTAGTTGTACCTGTTCTTCATAGAACAGCAGCGCTCCTGCTACGCTGTCCAGCTATTGTGATTGTGAGGTGTGTGATATATCTCTATTTTAATATAATTAGATTTTTAGTGTTTGAATTTGAGCTAATGATATGAGAGTTTCGATCTGTGTGTCTAAACTCAATTGAGAGTTCTTGGAAGTTAATGGGAACTTGGTAATGTTAGAGGGTCTTTATGAACAAACAAAGTAAACAGTTGTACATTAGAAGCTCACTAGAAGCTTTTCTGTTTAGAAATTCAGAAATTGTGTTTTTTTTCTTTTGATTTGGGGAAACACCCATAGTTTGAAGAAAGCCCTTTTAGTTTCAGTTTAACAGTTTGCAGAAATCTTGGCTGAAGCTGGGTAGGTAAGACAGTTGCTTCTAAAGAAGGGAGATAGTTTAGAACTGTGAAGAATATAGTACCTCAGTGTAAGGAGTTTAGATTTAAAGTTCCAGACCAGAATTGTTTCGTTGAACTTGAGAAAACCTATACTTTATATGAAGGTATGAGGATAGAGTCGTAGAGTTGTCAAGCATGGAAACAGACCCTTTGATCCAACTTGTACATGCCGACCATATATCCTAAACTGGTCCCATTTGCCAGCATTTGTCTATATCCCTCTAGACCCTTCTTATTCATGTACCCATCTAGATGCCTTTTAAATGTTGTAATTGTACTAGCCTCCAGCACTTCCTCTGGCAGCTCATTCTACACACTCACCAACCTCTGCGTGAAAAAATTGCCCCTTAACTCCCTTTTAAATCTTTTGCCTCCCATTTTACACCTTAAATGAGGCAATTAAATTCACCAAACTGGGTATTGAAGACACATCTCAGTCAGGGAAGGGAATTCTCTGTGGTGTTTTAAAGCTGTAAAAGAGTGCTTGTTGGGATTAATGGGATTGTATTTTACCATGTATTTTGAAATCTTTAAATTTGTTATATTTGAAATGTTAGTTTTTTTTCTACTTGATTTTGTAATAAACTTCTGTTTTATTGTTAAAACCAAATCTGCTACATTATGTGCTTGTTAAAGTGAGAAGCAACCTTGTTCAATTTTAGCAAGAATCAGTAACTCTGGTTTTGAATTTTTTGCTTAATAAGCTCAGGTCTCATTTCCAGATCATTTATGGGATCCACCTTCCAAATGCCCCTCTAGTTTAATACTCTCCTACTCTTATTCTCCTGCTCTTATACTCCTCCTCCTCCTCCTCCTCCTCCTCCTCCTCCTCTTCTTCCCTCTCTACCCTTGTTCTGTCCCACTTCATCCCCTTTTATTCCCTCCTCTTCCTCTCTCCTTCCTCTTCCCCCCCCCCTCCCCTGCCCCCCCCTTCCTTGCCCCCCCCCTTCCTTGCCCCCCCCTTCCTTGCCCCCCCCTTCCTTGCCCCCCCCTTCCTTGCC